ACATTAAAAAACGGGAGAAAATGTATTGTTTGTCTAATGAACTCCTTAAAGGGTTAGTTCACCCAAAAATGAAAATTAGCCCATAAACTACTCACCCTCAAGTCATTCTAGGTGTATATGACTTTCTTCTTTCAGACGAATCCAGTCGGAGTTATATTAAAAATTGTCTTTGATCTTTCAAGCTGTTTAATGGCAGTCAGCGGGTGTTGCATGCATCAGTCCAAAAGAAGTTAAATAAAAAGCGCCCGTCCATAAAAAAATTTTTTTTTTTTAAAAGTGTCTCACACGGCTCCGGGGGGTGAACAAAGGCCTTCTGTGCAACACTGAACTCATCCGCCCGGAGCTGCTTCCGTGTACAACTGTTGGCGCAAGCTACATTAAAGTGATTATTATGTTTTGAATATGGATATTTTTCTTACAAAAACGCATCGATTCGCTACAGAAGGCCTTTGTTCACCCCCCGGAGCCGTGTGAGACACTTTTTTTTAATGGATGGGTGCTTTTTATTTAACTTCTTTTGGACTGATGCATGCAACACCCGCTGAGTGCCATAAAACAGCTTGAAAGATCAAAGTCCATTTTTAATATAACCCCAACTGGAAAAGTCTGAAAGAAGAAAGTCATATACACCTAGGATGACTTGAGGGTGAGTCATTTATGGGCTAATTTTCATTTTTGGGTGAACTAACCCTTTAATTATGCCTCATCATGTGCCTCTGTTTGTGAGTAAAACGGTGTGACTGTGGAGGTGGAGACTGTTTTGGCTGGGGGCATAAGTGACAGCTGAGGAATTCTGGGTCTGCCATGGTTTCCAAAGAGAAACACGACAGGAATGCAGGCACAGAACGACACAGCCACAACCCTTCCCACCCGACACACCACCACCACATATCTTCACCTACCTTCTCTTACTGAAACCTACCTAAACTCTGACCTCACCGATGACAGCACTGCGGAAGATTCCACCTATGTCGAAAATGACATTTTTCAGACTAAAGGCCTCCTGGTATGTAGGCCGGACTGTGCCTACATACCAGGTCAAACAGATCATGTGCACATAAACCTTAAATTTGAAAGATATTGCCATTATGAAACATTAAGGAAGAGACTTGCAGAGACCAACGCTTCAGGCCTCGGGCGTAATCTGCAGTTTCTCACCTCTATTTGCATACCGCCTCCACAAAGTTGTTGAGCCACTAGATAAATTCAGCTATTTTCTTTAACTGGTTAGCTGGAATGATTATATACATGAAAGACGTAGCCTACCATATAATTCTGTCAACACTCCTATGTGCGAAATTTTCATGGAAACATGTCAAACTGGGTAACATTTTACCCCAATATTATTTTTTATTAAGCAACAATAAATTAAACATTGCATAAATACTCATTTACTTTGCTCTAAATAAGCAGTCTAAATAGTTAAATAGTGTTCTAAATAGTATGTTATAAATAATTAGATTTTATTTTTACATATATTAGGGAAATAATGTCAATACAAAGGTTGTAAAAACAGCCTTTTATGCAAAATGCACTTGACTATAGTAAAAAAAAATTTTATTATCTACCTATTTTAAGGACCTTTTGTACATTTATTAAATAATAATAAATTAAACACTGCATTGATGCATAAATACTTGTTTACTTGGTAAATAATAACTTTATAAGCTATATTTTAAAATTATATTATGGAAATAATGTCATAAAGCAAAGGTTTTGGGTAATTAATGAAAAAATAGCCTTAATTTTTATGTAAAATTAATATAAGTATACTTTGATATAAATCTAATTAAAAATATAAATATATTAAGAAAATAATGCAAAGCAATGGTGGGCGTGTTCTCAATGGGCTTTGAAAGGTTCAATCATTTATAGAGATTTTCTAGTAATTTTTTTAAAAAAGCATTTTCAGCATTTGTAAAGAAATTAGGGGCAAAAAAGAAGATCACAACATGATGCAAGACTGATTCAAACACGACACATGCGCAGAGCACATGGCTCTGACAAAGTAACTTTTGGTTTGAAACAACATGTGAGCGGAAAACAGACATCAGAAGCCCATGCCAGGTTTCTTAACTATGAGATTGAGCAGCGCAGAATGTGAGTTGACTGGGTGCTAAAGTTAGCGTTCGTGCACTTGCCTGCACGTGATATTTATAACCCTAGCCGTACTGCTACAACAGTCACTGGAACCTCCCTGTACAAACACAGCAGTGCACTAAAAGTTAGGTCACTATCTGTTGCAGCACAGATGAAATGAAACAGTCCATGGGGACTGCTCCCAATCAAATCCCTGTGCTACCTTCAGTATGAGTCCCATGCTTTTAATCTTCAACATAACATTAAGATCTGCAATTAATATGAAAATGAGCAGTCAATGCACCATTTTGCATGAACAATAAAACCTAAATGTAGCTCAGTCAAAACATTGCCGTGCGTGTGACATTAGGGTTATGCTGGGAGAGCCCAGGGCGACCAAAACACTGCCTGAACCAACTTTTGCTGTCATACTGCAGTCTAAATAAACGTATACGACTTAAAAAGCACATGACTCCAAGCCCCAATATCTCTAAAGTCAAGCTGAGGATTGTAATCTGCCTTTCAATTCAAGTCTAGAGTTACATAAATAAAAGGGAATTGTTCAATTAAAAGGCCTGCAGTGCACAAACACTCTTGTGCATTTAAACAGGGGAACGCAACAAAAGTGTAATCAATCATTCTGTACTAGTGAAATTGAGCAACACCTAGCCAAGCAGCTTGTTAAATCCTCAGGTTTCTCTATAACATGTAGGGGTGTAAATGGGACATCCACAACAGCTAAAAAATACACTTCAATTTACCAGGTGAACACATTAAAAATAAATAAATAAATAGATAATATTGTATCAGTTGCATCACCAAGTCACAGGTGAATTTGCTGCAAAAGAGACTGAATCGACGCAAAAGATTTGACGCGGCAACAAATTACAGAAAGCATCTTCTCTTCTACTTGAAAAGTTAGATATTTTCTATAAGCCATACAACAAACTACATACAATTATACTGTTAGTTGCAACCGATACACCCTTGTTAGAACAGACATGTGACCCCTTTTTTGAAAACACGCAAATTCTCATTTCTTGATGCAATCGTCAAACCAAGCACAATTGCGAGACCTAGTAGAAGATGTACATCATTTATATACAAAATGCCTCCAGCACAGCTAAACCTGTGCATCTTTAATAGCGAGATCAGCATGTAAACAAACACCATTCGCTATGAACTTACTGCCTGCTGGTCACATGCTAAAACTCTCGGTTCCCTCACATGTCCACATACATAAACACACACACACAGCAGACCCAATAGAGAAAGGAGCCTCTCCAGTCATGGTTAGGTCTCAAGAGCTGCATCCAAATTCTTTCCTCCCCCTGTCTGAACACCGGCCCAAAAAAAGGCAAGTGCTTTTAAACGCATGAGCCTGTACAGACAACCTCCTGCAGTCACTTACAGCCACATCAAACCCATCAGACTCATTGCAGGGCCTTAGATATTATGCTCTACAATGTAAATTTGACACTTTCTCCTGCTGAAATGCATGATATGTATAGAGTAGACTTTTTAGAGACCTAAAAACAGTGTTGTGACATCCTGAACCTCTAGTTGAATTACAAAAAGTTACTCTAATGCACTTTGGCTTTGAATTACTCAATATGCCTTAACATCTAAATAAACATGTTGATTGTGTCTATGATGCCCAAAGATGTTAAGTAGAAATCTTACTCAATTTTAAGAGACACTAACAGGTATGACCAAGCACAAAAAGTATTTTATTATTATCATAGTTTACCTAGATTCCTAGACACATTCAATTACCAATTGACAGAAAGTGACACTTCTATCTTTGCCACATACTTATTTGTTGTTGTTGTTGTTGCAAAAAAAAAACGTTTTTAATGGAAAAACGAAACTAGTGGGACATCTTTCACGGATGTTTACAGACAAGCCAAGGAAACTACGTCTTAAAGCGACAGTACACTAAAAAATAATGGAAAATTGGGTCACGATTTGTTTAAATTCATTAAGTTTCGAGACGTTCTGACTTACTTTCTCATGTGGGTCGCCAGTGTAGATGTCAAGAACAATTTTAAGAACTGACAGCGCAAGTCGCCATTCAATTGCATTGTATGAAAAAGATGCACTGAAAGCGAATGGTGACCGGTGTAGCTGTCATTCTGCCAAATATCACCTTTGAAGCTCCACACAAGTAAATAAGTCACAACATGAAAGAGTATATCATGACAGCGCTTTCGTCTTTTGAATGAATGATTCGTTATAAACTGCGCGACTTTGACCGTGTATTGCGCTCGCTCATCGTCACGTTTTATATTATTCACCTTGCCGCACAGAACTCGTATTATACGGCGTCTTTCCCCATGAATGCCACATTTTCAGTCAATAATCTCCAAAGCAACATACGTGTCAACTGGGAAGCCTCTTTCCAAATGCTAACCGGTTGCTATGCACTTTCTCAACGTAATTTCAATGGTGTCCAGCGGATCGAGACACATTTACGAGTCGGTTCTGTGACTCTATATACGACAAAACCCATGCACATTCACCCGATCCGTTTATAAACAGATTCAACTCTTATTGTGCTGTGTCTACTTGCTCTTATCTATGAGCTGAACGGCTAACAGGCTAACCAGCAGCTAACACACAGAGAATCAGTCAGACAGACAGTCCTCTTCCTGCCTTCACAAACTTGTTTACACACAAATACGATTACTCCGGGATCATCGATCTAGCACAGTGCGCATAAAAAGCAAATACCCGTTTCAATCAGAGCCCGGTTAGCGCCAGCGGCTACGTGGTTCCGCAGAACGGCCCGACGAAGATGGTGATGATGGTGGTGCTGCTGGTAAAGTGGTGTCGGGCTGAAGTAAACACAGCCAGCCAGCAAAGCGTCCGCATACACGGCTCTGTGCACAACAGCCGCCGCTGAGCCGCTCTTAACTTACCTGGTGCAGCGCGGTGAGTCCGTCTACATTGGCGTAGTTGATGTCCGCGCCGCGGTCGAGCATTCGCAGCACCTCCTCCGTATCGCCGCTCGAGCAGGCGGCCAGAAACACGGCGCCATCGTCGAACTTCACCTTCGTTTTCTTCTTCTTCAGGACGGGCGGCTCGAGATCGGTCTCCGAGCCTATCCAGCGCTTTAACTGTTCGTTCCTTTTCTGCTTGGCGTCCGCCATCTTCATCCCCTCTAGCCTGGCGCTTCTTATCTGTCTCGGATGGAAGATATACTTTATACTGCCACTATCCCAACACAGCGCGCTGGGGCGTGGGAGGGGAGGGGACGGCACGGGAGGGGGGTTAGTCTCGAAACCTGGTTTACGCCGAAATATCGCGAGAGCGAGCGACGTCAGCCCCGGATCTGCAGCATAACGTCATCTTTATGGGGCAGTAGAGAAAAACAAATGCACAGCAGTTGTAGCCTTCAGAGAAGAAATTATGTTTTGTTCTTAATTTGTTTATTATATCAGGGAAATATCACATTCATAAATGTCGATGGTCAAAGAGTACACCTAGTTTTTTACCATTTAAATGTGAGCTCTGTCAGTACCTTAAAGTGATGGAGGATGTAAGGAACTCTAAAGCAAAAAAAGACTAGATTGTTGTAAAGCCTTGAAACTTTATCCTTTTTAAGGACCTTTGCACTCATTTTGTAGTTAGAGATTTGTTCTCAAGACCCCTCTGTATATAGTTCATACGTTTTTTGTTGATTTATTTAGTTTTTTTCTCCCTTCATTTGCATAATTTTTTTTTACAAGCATTGTGTCTTTGAATTTATTGACATTTTTGCTTTCATTGTCAATTTGTATGTGAATTGTCACTAAATAAAGCTTCTTTTTTTTTTAAATGCACAGCAGTTGTCTACATACAAAGGTGTTTAGGGTTGACATAGAACACGGGACCGTAAAAGCTTATGAAATTAAATACCAAAAACAAACAAATTAATACAATAACAGTAAATAATAGCTATATTAGAGTATCAAAAAAAGGGATTTGTATATGCACAAAATATGTTAATTCATCAACACTTTAAAAACGCCTTTACGGCTGAAATGGAGACCCCTGCAGTTGATAAAAGTGGGCTCTTTCATTCATTTTAGCTGTGATTTATGTAATATTTTAATAGACTCATATAGGACATTAGAGCAGAAATATTACATAGCAATGGCAAATGAAGTGAAGTGTGTGAGCATATGCCCACCATGTGTTCATTTACTGCTTGTTAATAATGTTTACATGTGCAGACAAACACAACATGTTCCTCACTGCTTGTTCAGAAGGACCAATTACATCCTGATTTTTCTGATTTTTCATCCTGACCTTACAAAAATAAAAATGTACTGTGGTACCATGGTATAGTGATGCATTAGATAGTAATACAGTGGCACAATGGTGTACTATGTATACTTTTAATGTACTATGGTATTTTTATGTTACTCCAAAGTACTTAAAAGAATACAATGAAATGTTAATGGTACATGTCCAAAATACTATGCCACTGCCGTGTGTGTCCATGGTAATAATCAAGCAATAGTTTAACAAAAGATTATAAATAATCAGTGGGGGAAAAAAAAAATATATATATACATATATCTGACACTTCTATTTTGTTCTATGTGCTTGAATCAGGTTTTTCTATGGCATTTTATGGTTTTATTGTCCGTGTTTATTTAATCATATTTTATTTAAATCTGTTTCTAAAACACTTCCAGCTGCATGTTACGTACCGAAGAAAATATAATACAAACTGAATTATTATTACTAGTACATTCAAAACAAATAATGAGTATGATCTATCAATTATTTGGATATTTTAATTTGTGTATACTTCTTGAGCATGTGTTCAAAAAGTAAAAAAGATGACATTCATATTAAATATTCATACTGGTGTATTGTGAAGATACAGATTGCTTAAGCAATAGCAAAAGTGCTTACTATTGTAATTGTAATGTGCCAACAGACTCAAATTATCATCCTTTTTACTTCCTTTTATGGATTGTTTTTAATTGATATATATACAGTATCTGTCAAAAGATTAATCGCGATTAATCGCATCCAAAATAAATGTTTTTGTTTATATTATGTAAACAAAAACTTTTATTTTGGATGTGATTAATCGCGATTAATCGGTTGACAGCACTAATATATATATATATATATATATACAGTATATGAAGAGCTCAGATGCAAAAGCCTCTAAGTGCCATTTGAAATGTGAAATGTTTATGTTCAGTTATTTCACTTTAATGGCAATTAAAAGAACCTCTTCATTGCCATTAAAGTAAAAAATAACTGAACTTACACATAGGCAGTGTTTGGGGTAACGCATTACAAGTAACACGAGTTACGTAATCAGATTACTTTTTTCAAGTAACTAGTAAAGTAACGCATTACTTTTGAATTTACAAGAGAATATCTGAGTTACTTTTTCAAATAAGTAATGCAAGTTAGTTTAACAAAAGATTATAAATAATCAGTGGGGGAAAAAAAAAATATATATATACATATATCTGACACTTCTATTTTGTTCTATGTGCTTGAATCAGGTTTTTCTATGGCATTTTATGGTTTTATTGTCCGTGTTTATTTAATCATATTTTATTTAAATCTGTTTCTAAAACACTTCCAGCTGCATGTTACGTACCGAAGAAAATATAATACAAACTGAATTATTATTACTAGTACATTCAAAACAAATAATGAGTATGATCTATCAATTATTTGGATATTTTAATTTGTGTATACTTCTTGAGCATGTGTTCAAAAAGTAAAAAAGACGACATTCATATTAAATATTCATACTGGTGTATTGTGAAGATACAGATTGCTTAAGCAATAGCAAAAGTGCTTACTATTGTAATTGTAATGTGCCAACAGACTCAAATTATCATCCTTTTTACTTCCTTTTATGGATTGTTTTTAATTGATATATATACAGTATCTGTCAAAAGATTAATCGCGATTAATCGCATCCAAAATAAATGTTTTTGTTTATATTATGTAAACAAAAACTTTTATTTTGGATGTGATTAATCGCGATTAATCGGTTGACAGCACTAATATATATATATATATATATATACAGTATATGAAGAGCTCAGATGCAAAAGCCTCTAAGTGCCATTTGAAATGTGAAATGTTTATGTTCAGTTATTTCACTTTAATGGCAATTAAAAGAACCTCTTCATTGCCATTAAAGTAAAAAATAACTGAACTTACACATAGGCAGTGTTTGGGGTAACGCATTACAAGTAACACGAGTTACGTAATCAGATTACTTTTTTCAAGTAACTAGTAAAGTAACGCATTACTTTTGAATTTACAAGAGAATATCTGAGTTACTTTTTCAAATAAGTAATGCAAGTTATTATTTTTTTCAATTTATTGATTGACAGCTCTCCTGTCCCCATGTTGAGAGAAATCAGATGTTACTGTAGTTCTAAAATAAATATGAATATGCATTATCTCACTCATAAAAAAAAAAACACACAGATTCAGTATTCCTCAAAATGAATAAAACTAATGCAACTCAGAATATGACGCAAACCTGCAATAATTAAATGTTAAACAACACAAATATCCTTTATGTATTTAATCTCATTCTATTTGCTTCTGACCTCCAATGATCCAGTTCAATCGTACTAATAAGCAAAAATTACTCTAGACAAACATTTGTGTGTTTTTTTTATTGCTGAAGTGTGTTGAAATTTCTTCTTCTGCATTCTACTGTACGGACGTAAATTTACTTTCCCTTCAGCCTGAGGCGTATTCATTTCACTTTTGGTGTGAAAAGGCTTTAATATTTGCCAAAAATAGAACTTTTTTATATTAAAAACAAACAAGCAAGCCCTGTCCAGATTTAAAAAGTAGCACAAAAGTAACGTAACGCATTACTTTCCATAAAAAGTAACTAAGTAACATAATTAGTTACTTTTTTTATGGAGTAACGCAATATTGTAATCCATTACTTTTAAAAGTAACTTTCCCCAACACTGCGCCTATATATATACAGTATATATATATATATATATCATGCTAAGATCGCTTTTGGGGAAAAAGTTAGATTGTGATAACAGAAATATTACTTAAAAAGCAGATGATTAACAGAAACAGGGGGAAAATGACTACTTAAAAGGCTAATTTTACCCCTGGAAGGCTTCTAAAAGTATCCTCATCTGGGTAACTGAGTTGACAGAAACCTTCTGACTGGGGTGGTCCCAACTGTACTGGGCAGGTAATAAGTGTTATTTTTCTTTTGGCACTGTAGTGTGTTATTGTTGGCACAGGCCCATGTATGTGTGGTTTGTGCAGGTTGCAGGTAGCTGGCAGGCTAGTTCAGATGTTTGCCATCTCTCTTACTAATTATAATCATCATAATGAGCATTATAACTTGAAGTGCAATACGTGTCAATGTAATTGCCTGACTAATTTAAGTGGGAGACGATCCAGGTGTGTACGTCATCACGGATTCGTGCAACGATCGAGAATAGCGTAAAACTTGTGTCATACCCATATGACAAAAGTAAAAAAATTCTGGCCAGAATGCATTCATATGTACATATATGTTAAACATATGTAATAAGTAAATATGTGTTACATATATAGTATGTTATAAACAGCAAATGCCTAAGGAAATGTTACTAAGTGACATTTTTTTTGTTTCAACCTTGTGAAAATGTTACAAAATATACTGCAAGAAGACAAAAATAAAAAGCATTGTGGGTAATGCAAAATGAACTTTTTAAAATATATCTATGAACTAAATAAACATAAAAATGGTCAAAACTTTTGAAAAAATTGAAATATTTTGTGTACATATATATTAAAATCCACTGTATATTAGTATTATTTTGGCATTTTTTGATGATTTTAAAATATTTAAAAATACATCTGAAAAAAATATTCAGACATTTGGTTCCACTTTGGATTAGGGATTATTATTCACAGTTGCTTATTTAACATGCATGTTACTAGCATATTGGCTGTTTATGAGTAATAATAAAGCACATAAAAATGCCTTATTCTGCATGACCAGATCTAGATCCCTTAACCAAACATAACTACTACAACTACCTTACTTACTATCAATAAGCAGAAAATTAGGAGTTTATTGAGGGAAAATATTGATAGTGAATATGTGTTCCCTAATCTAAAGTGTTACCAGAGATTTTCTTTGCTGCTGTGTTTTCATTTGGACTTTTCAGGACAGGAGTCTTACTTTAATGGATTTCAACGCAATCAGTGCATGAATCAGCTGCTGGCAAA